TTTCATCTCTTAATTTCCCCCTAATTCTAAAATAAATCAGGTTTCAAGCAGTGATAAACGTGTTTCTCCAGAGTTAGTCTCAGTAAACACAGTCCAGTTGTTTTCTTACCTTGTTGATGTAAACCGTCACCTGTCCCCAGCGATGACAGAGCAGTAGACTCGGACATTTTCACCTGGATTTCGTTTCTTGAGTGTTTTTTTCGGGATTTCTGCTCAGCTCTCCTGTCAGCTCGAGCCCGGAGCGAAAATAGAATGTTTACTTCCTGAATCAAGTTGCGCGCCTCCGCGAGAAGCGCTCCTATTGGATAACGTCACTCCACGTGACCACTAGAATCAGTGTCACGCGGTGTCACGCCAAATTCTGCCCGCCGAGAAGTGCATGCACCTCGCGGGAGCGCGCACAGCTCCCAGGGAAAGACGCCACCAGACAGAATCGTCTCTCTTGCAACATAGAGTTTAAAAAATATATAATCTGGTTTGCTGGGGTTTATTCATGATGATAAATGATCCGATGCTTATTGTTCATGAATGTTTAGAGTCATCAATCATTTATTAGACTACACTGTGTCATTATAGTGTTGAAGTCCTGAATGTGAGAATGTGCAGATCTGCTGCCATGTTATCCATGCCCAGATATTTCAGCATTATTGACCTGCCATTTATACAGACGAATCAAACGTCAAGAAAACACTATTTGGTTTATAGATTTCCAGAAATAAAGTTGCATTGTGAATGATTTTTAGCAGTTGTGTATTTGATTTATTGCTTTGATTTTCCTCCCCTTCTTTTCTCAGACTAGATGAGCGTTGGGTGTATGAAGTTCTGAATGTAAAGTCAACACAGCCCAAAATATTAGATAGAGACCATTACTTGGCAAAGCAGATATTGGACCTGCAGAGATTTGCATCCGAGATTGGGCTGTTTTGACTCAACAGAGAGAATGTGTCTTCCTGGCTGAAAAAACAGGGAGCAATTCTTGGCAGGTCCAAAATCTGTTTTGGCAAATAATGCAACCTGCTCCCAGATCTCTTTTCAGACACTCTGTGGTCAAACATTTTACCCTGCAGCTGATATTTTAGGATATTTCGTACATCTAACACTCATCTGTGTGTCTGTTTGTGTGTATTCATTTACTTAGATTAGTATTCCATTTGTTGTAATGTCTTTTTCCTTTACCCTATTTTCTTCATGGTAACATGGTCTGTGTTGATATGTGTAGTCTTTAATAAAACATAATTGACAAAAAAACATTAGCAGCAGTAATTCCAAGTTACTCATGGTAGGTTATAGGGGATTCAATAATATGAGTTGTGCTAACACACTGTGTAAACACGTCAATTAAGGAAACGAAGTATACATGGTATGAATGAGTGCTGGGCTTAATTTAGACCTGACAGAGCCACATTCTATATCCGCGCACCGAGCAAGTGTCTCATGTTATTATCGAGGGGTCGTAGATACGTGTGTGCCCATAAATGCTCTACAATCAAAAGTGTGAAGGAGGAGTGTTCAGGAATATCACTAATGTGTGTGTGTAGGGGGTTGGTTGGACATATAAAAAACATGAACTGAGCAGGCCTATCACCTTTATCCACACTGAATGTGGGGGCTCCACAGCTGTGAGTATATTCCTGTCCTTGTGTGCCTTTCCACCGTGACCTCTGGCCTCTCATGCTCCCCTTACATATGTCTCCCCTGCAGCAGCCCTCACCCATATCTGGTCTCCCCCTTGCTGCATTCCTTTTGTTTTGTAACCACTCACTTGCCTCACTTTGTCCACACACTTTCATTTATCATTCCACCACAAATAAGGTGCGACTGTTATTGTGTGGATTTGGAAAAAAAATAGTTTTCTGTGTGTTTTCCTTGTTTTTCCTTTTTCCAGCATGTGATGCACAACATGTGTAGTAACTTCACTATAGTGCTGTTTACACAATGGCTGCTGCTGCTCATTCATCAATGAGTGGGCAGAATGAGTCGGGGGCCAATCAATTTGAGCAACACTTTAACTGACAGGGAATGCAACCAATGGATTGTGTTGGGATGCGACTCCCTGTTTTGTATTGGTCACTCTCAGGGACCAGCCCTTATTTGCTAAACCAATTAATGAAGGCTCCAGGTGATTGTCGAGGTGCTCGGCCAATCACAGGCCCGGTTTGCCCAGTGGGTGGGAGTTTAGTGTTGAGGGGTGGGGTGTTGGAGGTCATTCAGCCCCTCTCTGATTCACTCTCACGGCGTGTGTTTGAGGGGACGGGTAGTTGGAGGAAGGAGTCGCCGGGCGGCAGTGCATCGCAAACGCTCTTTTTTGGGACAGAAACGCCGCCGTACACCGCGCCGCAGACGGACGAAGGACCGACCCCCGGTGACGACTTCTGTGACACACTTCAACGCAACGACTGCGCCACTAACGAACCGCCGCACGCAAACCAGGCTATCAAATGCTAGCCAGCTAGCATCCCAGCGAAAACGGACGGGATCGAGGTGTTGATAGCTAGCCTCCCAGCTAATTATCCGCCAGCTAGCATCCTCCTGCCGTAGCATCATTAGCTCGCTCTTCCCGTCCGCGCACGTCGAAACTCCGCCGCTGCCCGTGGCGGTGCCGCACAGCTCGCCCAGCACCGACCCCCACATCCCGACGAGACCAGACGCCGGAGCTTCCCGACCGGCTGCCGCTGCTGCAAGAGAGAGTGGTCCGCTTTTGCGCTGCAGCTGACACCATCACACCCATCTCCCCCCAACCCCTTCACCTCTGCCCCTCTCCCTCCACCCGAAACACTGGAAATCCACAAGCGGCCGGAGGGCGGCGAAGGGCCGGCGAAGCTGGGGGTGGTAACGCTACCGGACTCGCAGGGAGTCGTGACGCCTGAGGACAAGCACAGCCGTGAGGAGCTACCGACGAGTATGGACGGACTGGCCGTGGAAGTTCGCGGCTCGAATGGGGCCTTCTACAAGGTAACCTGCTCGCAGTCGCAGTTTTTAAAGCTGTCGCAGATAAGTTTCGTTCCGAGGGAAGCCGTGATGTCTGGTTGTCTTGAGCCCAGTCCTCGCTATCCTCTACCCGGCTAACGTGGGCTTCGGTCCGGTCCTGACGACCGAGGAGGGTTTTGCGTTCTAATGGGGTTGGCCATTGTGGGGTGGGTAGCTAGCTTCAGCTAGCAGTTAAGCTAAGTACACTTGTCATCACCAAGTATGGCCTATATTTGGTCTCTTTTAGTGAATATCAACATGATGACAGGCTTCACTATTGGAAACAGGTTCCCGTAGTTTTAAAATAGCATTACCCATAGCATATTGCTTTGTATTGTGGGAAGCAAACAATTAAAACAGAAGCGAGCTGCCTATTAGACCGTTGTTGTGCAGTTTCCTACGTATAAACACGATGAGATGCTAAATCGGAGCTCATACACTTCATATTTGTTTTGCAGCCCATCCCACGTCCTCGCTTTCTGTTTCAATTCCCCCTCATCGTCAAAGGAAATTACACTTTCAATACCTCAAAGCAGACACACGATTGGTCGTCTTTGTTGCTGCTGTGTTGCAGCCTCCATGCTTGGTTCCATCACATGCTTTGCCACATAGAATTAGATCTTGGTGAACGTGGTGGGTTCTGGTACACTTTTTGATCGCATGGGATCTTACCTAAACATCTGACACAATCTGAGATGACACCATTATGGTTGAAGTGTGCATAGGTAAATAATCATGTTCTCCATCTCCCAGACGTCAAGCCTCAAGTCTTTGTGATGTCTCTTTTTTTTTTAAACAGTTCTCTCACTTTAACTACATTGTTTTCTCCACGTTGCCCCTCTTCTCCATTCTGTCCACTGCTGTTCAGCTTGTCCACCAGCCACATGGTGGCTCAGGGATGAGCCTATATTTACTCTCAAGCTGCTTCACCTGTCGTTCTGTTTTACAGGGTGACAGTTCAGCTCTGGCATGAATAGACACTTTCCACTCATCTCTGTTACGTCCATTATCTCTCGCCTCTCATTTTGTGGATGAAATGGACACTTAACTGTGTCTGAGACGTTCTAAATGTCACATTCCTGTAGGTTTGTTGTCCTTGATGGGAGAGACTGAGGCCAAAGCTTTACTGCTTTTTCTTTTCCATGTTGTGATTGACAAACAGAGTGAAAGGCTTTTGCCTTTTAAAGGCACCTCATTCCTTTTGGTGTCACACTGAGCCAGTTAGTTTTTTAAAAATTTCTTTTTAACTCTGAATCAGGATTATATTTATTAGCCCATCAATGTAACTCAGCACCTGTTGGGAAAGTGGCACTACGTTCTATTAAAGGTCTGTGCTTTTTGCAGCTGCGAGCACATACCAACAAAGTGATAAAAGACTAAATAAGTGATGCCACATTACATTGACAAAAATTATGTCCTCTATATTTATATTTTTGTAGGCTGATTAGATTAACACACCTGAACACACAGGCTACTTATGTGGAGAGGATGCAGCTAACCTATCTCATCAGCCGAAAGGTCCCTGGTCACCACATGGATCTGCATGGGACCGCTGGCATGAGGATGAAGTGACGTCATCACGAAGCTGGCAGTGACCCCTCGCTGCCCCCACTTTTTCTCTAGTCATGTCATGCTTGAGGAGAGGGCTTGCCTGCCCTTTGACCTGGTAGTACTCTGTGGAAGCAGTGCTTGATGCAATGTAACATACACATGCAGCTGTCACCTAATGTGACCTGTTGTCGTCGCTGGCTTTTCTTCCAGAATTTGTCCGGCTCTGGTGCCACTGAGACATATAGACGTCGATGTATTTATAAGTAAATTCCATATACAAGGACCAATGCCCAGCACCAGGCAGTGATGGTGATTAATATTTAGATTTGTAGTGAGAGTGACTGATAAAGGGTGTGAAAACCTCAATGTGTCTACATACCCATTGCCCCCCCCCGATCCATGCTGAAACTGTAGCCACCTCCTCCAGTGCATAGACAGCACCTTCCCAGCAGGTGAATTCCGCACCCCTGCTCCTGACCCCTAATTGGACGATGCTGCCTGACCTGTCTGTCCCATATATAGTAGTGTCACACAGAGACACGCCACACCCACCACTCTCCCCCTCTGTCTTGTAATTGCTGAGCGCTGGGGGGGTGTTGGTCAAAGTTTTTATGGTGTGCCGTGACAGATTTGTTGATGGTCATGATGGATAAGCAACAGATTTTAGGGTCATCTCTGGGCTGTCGCATGATCTGTCCATGTAAGTCAGGCTGAGTGCCTACCTTCCCCAAACATGTGCCCTCGTGTTTAAAACTACTGTCCTCCAACATGCACACACGGATAGACCTCACACATTTCAATTTTGTGTGTGTGTGTGTTTGTGTGTGTGTGTGAGTGAGGGAGATTTACAGGCTGCATGTGCTGTCAGGACGAGTCAGTGTTCCTTGTCACGTTATCCAACACAGAACTCACAGCCAGAGAATTGTGTCAACGATGTGTTGTCTTGGCTTGCAAAGATCCCTAGATGCTCTTTTTTTTCAGCAGCAGTCACAGCGTCTAGCGTGGCTCACAAGCCAGCCGTCTGTGTTGTTTACATGCAAAATCCAGTGCTCACAGCCCCACCCCTCGCACCACTTTCTCTCCATCTCGAGATTAAAAAAATCTTTCTTTCTGCTTTTCTTTCAGGGTTACATCAAAGATGTCCACGAAGACTCACTCACAATTGTATTTGAAAATAAGTAAGTTTGCCCTCTCTCAGTTAACATGTCCTGTATTTACGATCAATGGTCCTTACCGGGGAAATGAGGCTTGAACTGTGGTAATTGAGAGTTACAACGACTACCCCCGGCTGGTGCTTCACCCAGGCATTCAAAATTGTCCCCTTCAGCACCTGTGCTTGGCATGCAGCTGTCCATACACGTCTCTTAACAGTTTTTTTACCTCCTGCTCTGACCCCTCCTGCCCCTGCCATCCCAATTGCATGCTTTCCTATACTAGCCCCACCACCAGTCCCTCTGGTCCCTCTTTATCTCCTTGGCTCACAGTGTAGATTAGGGTGCCCCTAAAAATAGTAGCCCAAGGTATGCAGGGTGGGAGGAGTGGCAATATGGTGGCCTGTGTCGTTCTCGGGATGGCCCCCCCCTCTGTCTCCATTTACTTTCTCTGAGCACATGGAGGTCTTGGAGTAACTGGTTGTATAAGATAGTGAATGAATGAAACACTGCTTTTTGGTCTATAATGATAGTGATAAGCCACTTAAATGAAAGTTGGGTTTGAATCTAGATTTCAGTAAGAAAAGAACATGAGCAATTTTTTAATTTTGTCTGGAGTTATAATATCAATTCATTTGCTGAGCTGTATTATTGCACCCCAAGTTCAAAGTTGTAGCTGAACATCATACAATGAACATAGTCACACACTGTTCAGACACTCCTCCGTGCATTTCCTCATTAATTAATAAGCCATTTTTATTCAATAGTTCCGCCAACATGCTATAGTGCAGTGAGCTGCATATGCTCTTATGCAATTCTGACATAACACAAGAGACAAAGAACTTGAAAATAACATTTTTTATAATAAGTTTTGCTGAAATTTTGACAAACGTTTGTGCTCCATCCCTGACTTTTCGCCACAGCTGGCAGCCAGAGAGACAGTTGCCTTTCAGCGACGTGCGGTTGCCTCCTCCGACCGACTACCACAAGGAGATTGGCGAAGGAGAGGAGGTGGAGGTGAGTCCTCTCTCTCTCAGACTCAGCCCACACACCTGAGGTTTCTCTAACCTTGTGCCATGGTGCCTTTGCTCATTATCAAACAGATTGTTATTGGCCTGTACTGACAAGAACATCCACATGGCCTCTAATAAAAAACATCTCAAATGAAACTATCGACATTTACGACTTTTAAACGACTTTGTTAAACGACTTTGTTAAACTGTAAAAAAGCCTGAACAGTTTGTGTCACACAATGGTTTAAAAGTTCATTTTAATCTTTGTGCATATTTTTGTATTGCCTCTGGGCAGCTGATTGGACCAGGGTATTATTATATTATATATACATATAAAAAGCTTTGGGGAAAGTGAATCTATTTCTTGACATTTGATTCAAATTCAAAATTTCCTACAAAGGCTGTACATTCAAGTCTCATATTGTCATTAGCAATAATATCAATTCTGCCTTAGATATCATGCATTCTCTCAGCCAGATGGTTGTGCACTATGCATCCTTTCTGCTTTAGTAATCACGAGACAGCGGATTTGTGGGATTCCCCAGATGTCATGACAAAGATTTGCCATTTGCTTCCTAAATATCTAGTTGAGGCCATGTTCCCGGCTTCATGTGTTCCAACGCAAACATGGTTAATGAGTGTAACAGTTGTGTGGCAGTGTTTATTTGTCTCCGACTCAGCTGTCGTTCACTGTGTGTCTCCTCACAGGTTTACTCCCGGGCCAACGAGCAGGAGCCATGTGGCTGGTGGCTGGCGCGAGTCAGAATGATGAAGGGGGAGGTAAGAGAAACATCATCTTTAAAAAACGTGATGGAAAAGTCAGTTAAAGATAGAAAACATTGAAAACCTAATATGCAGATGGTTGAAAGCAGGGCATATAGTGACTGTGGAGACACGTGTTATGCCTTCATAGTGATTAGAAATCCTCTTCCCACATCTTCATGTTTCCATTAAATCAGTGCCACAGTGGAGGATCATGAGGAACAACAGGGTGCTGTTATGTTGTCCTGTTGTTTGAATACTTATCAAACCTCTCTTTTCTTTTTTTATGCTGTCTAATTTTCCCAAATCATCACAGTGCCTTGGATGCTGTGGCGTGCTGAAGTTACTCTTAGTTACTTACTCTTAGTTTTAGTGTATTTGTGCTACTTATACAAATGCATTCATATAATTGAGAAGATGATATCTTGTGTGAGTCTCATGGTTAATTTTTGCTGCCTTCATGTGCGGAAAAAGATGCACCTGTTTCAAACCATGTAACTGTCACTTACCACGAAATTCCATGCGTCCTTTAAGTTAGCAGGGTTGCCATGCATTACATCCAATAGAGGGCAGCACAGAGTTGACGCATGTCGACGGTGGAGAACATTGTGAGAAAAGTGGCCATTTGTCTCTTTGCCAAGGCCAAATAACCCGATAAAGATACCTGCAGTTTCTAAGCAACTTGCAATGCTTCCCCTCAAAAACTGCCATTGATAAAATGTCTTCCTCTTGCCATATGTGGGGAAAAGCCAACTGGTACTTGAAAGGAACAACAACCACCCCATAGAACTAGCTCTTAGGTCGGCGTTGGTGGTAAAGGGGGGGCTGTGGGTCATTCTGGTTGAATAGTGGGTCAGTGGGATATGGAAAGGACATGCTTCGCAGTGCTCCTGTACCACGGGGAGCTGCTGCTGGTGTAGTGCTGTTATTTGGGGCAGTCTGATAAGAGCCTGCAGGAATGTCTAGCATTGACTGATGGCTCTAATACCATCCTTTGAGCATGTAGTGTGCAGTGTTCATCTCACCGCCTCACTCTTTCATGCTCCCCCTTTGTCTTTGTCCACATTTCATTTCTCTGTATCTTTGTTTCATCTCACATTTCCTCTGAAACATAAGAGAAGGGCAAACATTAATACCTTTGTGAAGTAATTCATAAAGCTATAGATTAAATGCATTCTGATGTCAGGCGCTTTCTCTCAACATGAGAAACAGAAATGAATTTTTAATGTGACAGCTAATTCTAAATTTTTGGATAGATTGAATACAGCAGTTCTGCCCTGTACATGCGCTGTCAGATTGTCCTGTGCTTGATATTTCTGCCTATATAATAATTTTTTTAAATCTCTTGTGCCGTTTTTCAGTTCTACGTGATTGAATATGCAGCATGTGAGGCCACATACAACGAGATTGTCACAGCGGAGCGCATCAGGCCACTCAACCCTAACAGCCCTTCCTCTCGGAACTCCTTTCATAAAGTCCCCGTCCCTGTCCCAGAAGACCTTAGGGACATGTGAGTGTCTTAACATTGTCAGGTTACATACTGTAGATATCTCTTGAATGTATTCATGTATAAATTGGCACAGAAATTCTGATTGCACACATTTATTTTGAATCTCGAAGTTGTCCCGGTGAACAGTGTTGTTATAATGTCCCACTGCTGCCAACGGAATTATGAGGCAGACTCTCCTGTGGATTGTTTTCTTATCGACAGCTGTGCAAATGACAACATTCACAAAGAGTTCAGGAAAGCTATCGGAGCCAACTGCATCTTCTACAGCGCCCAAACACACGAGCTCATTGTGCTGGTAAGTACTTTGAATACACACTCGAGCTGGGTCTCACACAAGATAAAGGCCTTATTTGATAGTCAGAGATGAAGGAAACCTGGTCATCAAGTGAACTGCATGTCAAGTATTTTCTAAAATGTGGTTAGGTCTGTATCATGCCATGTTCATTCACCAAGCACTTTATTAAAAACACCTTACTATCACGAGTTAGCTCTCTCCATTCCTCTCAAAGCATTCTCTGCTTCTCGTGCCATTGATGCCACAAGGTGTTGAAAAAAATCCTTTGAGATTCTGCTCCATGATTTCTGTTTTCTAAGTAAAACATCCCAAAACTGTTTTGTGTGTGAAAATCTCATGAGTCTCAGAAATCCTCAAACCAGCCTTTCTGGCATCAACAGTGATTATGTTTACATGAGCAGCAATATTCCAGTATTAAGACAGAAGTCTGAATAAAACACTGCTGAATAAACGTTTTGTGATCGCCTTAACCTGAATATAGTCTTACTCTGAAAAAGCAATAATCGAATAAAGACAAGTGGGGTATTTTCACTCTATAGATGTTGGAAATTGTATCACATAGAATGTCCTGTTGGAGTTTTCACAGTATTTTTGCGACATCAACACACAAATAAAGAGTTGTTTGAGTTTTGCAAAATTAGAAAGAAAACATGGAATGGAATATGGTCAATTGTCAGAGTATTTTGCCAAGATCACATTTCACCCCCATTCTGATGTTTGATATGAACATTAACTGAAGCTCCTCATGTCTATCTTCCTAACTTCATGGATTGCTGCAACATGATTGGCTGAATTAAGAATTCTTAATATGAATGTAATAACTCTGGTTTTGAAATGTAACTTATTTCCTTTTTCACAATCTTTCCCAGTCTACAAACGAAACCACAGTAAAGCGTGCAACTCTACTGAGTGACATGCATTTTCGCAGCATCCGCACCAAGCTCATGCTAATGTCCCGCAACGAAGAGGCCACCAAACATTTGGAGGTACACACACTCTTTTGAGACATGCACAAACAGATCTTGAATGCATTTCAATTTGATGTTAGAACCAAAGTTTTGTGCCCCCCCTTCCAGACGAGTAAGCAGTTAGCGTCCGCATACCAAGAGGAGGTGCGGGTCAGGGAGGACCTGATGGGCCTCGCCATTGGCTCCCACGGTGCCAACATCCAGCAGGCGAGGAAGGTGCCTGGTGTCACAGCTATCGAGCTGGAGGAGGAAAGCTGCACGTTCAGGATCTATGGAGAGGTACACCGCCTTATGAGTCCGAGCATATTTGAGCTTGTCCCAGTGCATGGAAACATAGGCTATAGTGTAATATGGTTGAATGTGTGTTTGTTGCAGACCCCAGAGGCAGTGAAGCAGGCTAGAGAATATCTCGAGTTCAAAGAAGACTACTTTCAGGTACCCAGGAACCTTGTAGGTGAGTGAGCGACATAGACGTTCCTGAGGGAGCTCATTTTAGTCGGTGACAACATCCGAAATCATCCCCATAACATAATCCTGATCACCACGCGTATAAGTCTTTTACCATTCTTTTTCTTTCGTGTTTCTTTTCCTTTCTCGCGCAGGCAAAGTCATCGGCAAGAGCGGCAAAGTCATCCAGGAGATAGTGGACAAGTCGGGCGTCGTGCGCGTCAGGATCGAGGGGGACAACGACAAAAAGCTTCCCCGGGAGGAGGTAGGCAGGCAGGGTGCTGTCAGGGACGACACTGCCAGCAGCAAAGAGGTGAATGGACCATTCGACTGGTCTCCCAGTCCCCTACAATCTCTCCGACCTCTCTCCCACCCACCCCTCTCCGAAAAGCAGGGTGTCGCGCCTGTTCTACTGCTCCATCTCTCGTTTTGTTTCGAGTGCTTTTCATTGCCTCCAGTATACACAGCCCACTGCCACACTGTAATGTGTCAAAGATTGTCAGTGGGTACTCTGATGGGACAGATACAGTATGTTCCTGTCGTAGTGCGCTTCACGTGTGTTTAGTTGTTGTTTTTTGAAGCACACTAATCATTCCAGAAAGCTGAGGTCTGAAACTCCACTTAAAATGTTCTTAATTGTTTCCTAGTCAGTGGTATAACGCCCAGATTACGGGAATCAGTATTTAACATCATGATTATGTTTTCCCTAAAATACTCAGCTCTTCATCTTCAACTTTGTGTTTTCTTAGGGCCTGGTCCCCTTTGTGTTTGTGGGAACGAAAGAGAACATCAGCAATGCTCAGGCCCTGTTGGAATACCATGTGTCTTATCTCCAGGTAAGTGAATTTGCCACTAGGTGGCAGCACTAGCTTTTGTTCTGTCACTGCCACTCTGCCTGTTAACAGCATTTCTTTCCTCTGAATACTGCAGCCATATATTTTGGCATTTGATAAAGGAAATCTGTTTCTTAGAAGTAACGTTCCTTTATGTGACACTGTGGGGTTGGGGTATGGTGCTGCTGGGAACTGTGGAAAGCTGCTGATGAGAGCACCTCATGTTGCCCTTACCTCATGTGCTTTTATAAATAGTCCCTCTTCTCTGAGATGGGGTGAAGGGTACACTGGAGTTTAGATTACCAACTATCTGGACCCTGAGCTCCCAAAAATAACACCAGACGCCCCCTACCCCCCCCACCCTGCCTCACTTCCTTCACACCTCCCTCGAGGTTCAGCTGTCGTTGGTGGAGGCAGCTGTCACGCTGTGAAGTGAGACCCCCCCCCTCCTCCTCTAAAGCACCCACCTCTGAAACAGCATGAAAACTGCTGTCAGTGCACTGCTGCCATTAGACGCCCACCCCTTCATCCATAAAGACGACTCATGTGGCTCCGCTGGAAAATGAGAAACTCTCAAAACATAATAGTAGCTTAAAAAAGATGTCTTAAAGTGTCATCGTAGATATCTCTGGCCTTTTTCCATTGCTTTGGATGAGGCCATTGGTTGCTAACATGGGTGGTCTTGTGGTCCAGGCGATCCCCAGCAACGCCATATTGACCCAGTTAGAGAATTAAAAAAAACACTCCCATCATTTTTGTTTTCCCGTTTCCCCATTTTCACAGTATTTGAGATTAATCTCAAATGCCTCATTCATTTTGGCAAGTGTGATTTTTCAATTTCTTTCTGGACGTCTTTCCACCATCTCACAGTCCTTCCAACATAACTGAGACTTATTACTGTATTTTGAGGTGATGGATGAGGTATTAAAAAACGCATTTTCACCTTCCAGTCAAACTCCCCCCATGTTGGGCTGCTAATCAGTTTGTGTCCTGTTATAAATGTTTCCTCCCACTCTCATCTCTTATTCTAGTACTTGTTCCTACTTCCCATTACATCCATATTATCAGTAGCTGCATGTTGTTGTGCATTATTGATTTTCAAGCTACATTTATCTGTTTGTCTGTATGTGGTATGTGTATTTAATTGCCTTTCTTAAACTTGACCACTGTAAGCCATGGTTAATAGTGTTTTGTCAAAATAGTCATGTTCAGGTTGGACAACTGCCCCCTAGTGGTAGAATGATAGGCTCAAATGCAAGCCCAGGCCTCCAGCAGATGAGTTTTAATGCCATGGCTCAGCCATACCTGTATAGGACAGGGTTTGATTGTGCCATGTTATAGTCTGAGAAACAGAAAGTGACACACAGTCAGTCTACTAAGGTGACATTTTGCAGATTTAATAATAATGCTCATAATCCTGTTCAATTAATGTTCAATCAGGACGAGTCTCTCCATCACTCCACATGTAGATCGTCTTATTTAAATATTAGGTTGCATGCCTTGTTTGTAGTTTCCCTGACGATGACTGTAAGTAAGATGATCACTGGACAACTCTCCTGGCTCATCATATTTAGTCAAACTGGAAGTTGTCCAGGTCACTGTTTCATGCTAGATAAGAAGCTCAGGGATTTGGTGGGTGAGGATAAAGTCTATTTTACATGTTAATAGCCTCAAAAATAACCATGCGCAGAATAACAAGCTATGMAATACAAACTGCTCATTCTATTTCCCTGTCCTTGTCTTGTAGGAGGTAGAGCAGCTGCGCATGGAGCGTCTCCAGATTGACGAGCAGCTCCGTCAAATTGGGGTGGGGTACCGTGCTCCTCCCAGTCGAAGCGGGGGCCCAGGCGGAGAACGGGAGAAAGGCTACTTGACTGATGAGAGCAGCAACTCACTCCACACGTCTCGCACCTACGGGGGCCGCGGCAGAGGACGCAGGGCCTCCAACAGTCAGTACTCTGGATATGGTGAGAGTGAAGGAGCTGACACGTTACTTTGATTTAGAATCAGTTTGTGTTATTGGTATTGCCACTGTACGTGTGTTTATCGCCTTTTACATGAACTGCCTCTACTGATGCAGGCACCAACTCTGAACAGTCCAACGCCTCTGAGTCTGAGGATGTCAATGAGCGAGACCAGCGACCCCGCGGCATTGGCGGAGATGAGAGAGGCTCCCGGCGGGGCGGCAGGGGCAGAGGCTCCAATTCAGGACGAGGCCGCGGAGGGCCAGGGTCCAAGCCCTCCAACTCCATCAGCTCAGGTAATCAGAGCCCAACCTCAGGTTACAAACTGACACTCTCAAGATAAATGGTTTTTAGTGAGTTTTGAGAACTTCTCCCTAGTGGCCCTTGCAGCAGTGTAGTGGTAGAGCGGGTTCAGAATCTTTTAAGTTACTTGAAACTGCCTTTTCAACTATTTTGTTGATTCTTACTCGTTTTCCAATTTGTTAGTAATTTTAACAATAATATGTTCTTGAAGATATATACACATATATGTTTCATCAAGTTTTAATAAGTTAAGCCACCAAACTGTAGAGTTGTCTTTACAATCACCTGCAGAATGATGTTGGCAACGTGAGTATTTAACAAGACAAACTTATCTTGGTCTTCAGTGTTGAGGGACCCAGACAGTAACCCATACTCCCTGCTGGAAGGAGAAGGAGAGCTTGCTGAGGCAGATCTCATTGAAGGAGACCGCCGCAGACGCTCCCGACGCCGCCGCAACGACCAGGAGCCCAGCGTAATGGACGCTGCTGCAGAGTCGGACAGCCAGGCCGGCCCCAGTGAGAACGGACTGGGTGAGAACTTCTGTTTTTTCCCCCCCCTCAGGTTAAAACAAATGCCAGGTAACACTCCCAATATCCACAGTTTGATGTGTCCTGTCTGCCTCTTCAAGGTTTTATCTATCCAAGAAAAGAAAAGAAACAATTTTTCTCTGACATTATCAGAGAAAGTAACCCATATTCTCCTTATTTGGTTTTTAGATGAAGAGGCGCGACCACAGCGCCGCAACAGAAGCCGCCGCCGCCGTAACCGTGGCAGCCGTACAGAGGGAGGTTCAGCCAGCCGTGACAGACAGCCTGGTGAGAGTGGTGAGTCTTTCAGTTTTTTACGTTTCCCTCTTCAGAAGTGGCAGTATGTTCTATATCAATATAAACTAATACCTAGTAAGCAGCTAGTGGTATTAATTGCGACACTGGTGCAGGTACTCTACCTTAAAGCCTGGACATTTTGAATCTCTATCTACAGTGCACGCACAATGTACCCCCCAGAAATCACTCTGACATATTTCAATGTTTCCAGTGACTGTTGCCGACTACATATCTCGTCCTGAGTCCCAGAGCAGACAGAACCTGCCCCAGAAGGAAAACCACACTGGCCCAGAGCCCAAGGTACAGACAGAAACACGCTTGGACCTCAGCCTTAGGCCACATCCACCCTTCTCCATTTTCATTTGAAAAAAGCATCGTCATTGCTATGGATACCCCAGCTGTCCTCACTTGAAACCATTAAAACGCTGTTTTCCAACAAAAATGTTCAGGTATGGATGTAGCCATCATTGTATCGACATACCTCCGATTATAAGACGGTCTTCTCTCTGTTCATACCCACAGGAGAACGGCACCAGTGCCAAGAAGGATGAGACACCACCCTCCAAGCGTTCCCCCAGCAATGGCATGACCTCGGCCAGCGAGACACTGACCCTGGTCAACGGGGTCTCGTAAAGAGACGGGCCCCACCCCTGGGCGAACCCAAGTCTAGAGCAAGACTCCATGGCAATCTCTGTCCCTGCTTGCATTAACTTAAACCTTTAAACAGATGAGTGAAAAGTACCTGACAAAATACCTGAATTCATACATGAGAGTGAAAAAGTACAAAAAAACGACAAACGCATCTACTTAAAAACACACGTTAACGGTGTATGCTATCCTATCTATCAGTACGTAGTGCTTATTTAAAAAAAACAACAACTAGCTTGCCAAAAAAGAGCTGGTGGATATGACTTGATTTTTAAAAATACCGAAACACGAGAAACAGGACGCGACTTTTTTCCTTTTTTTTTTGTTTTTTTGTTTTTGGACAGTTGTCTTTATTTGTGTCTTTTCTTTTTTTTTTGTTCTTGTTAATTTTGTTCATTGTTTATCACTGGTTTGGACTAGGCGGTCGCTTTCTCAACCAAAACAGACACGTCTCTTAACAGTGTTAAAGTACAGACAAGAGAGATGTAAGCTGTAGTGAGGGGCGTACGAGAAGACAGTCCAATAGCTTATGTGACGCGATGTTCGCACACTGAACCTGGGAGTTGAGACAGACGGATTGGAATATTGATAGACATTGTGCCTTGAATTTGAAAAAAAAAAATAAAATAAAAAAAAAACTTGAGTTTTTCCATTTTAGTTTGTTTTTGTTTCAAGCGGAAGGAGAGAAAAAATAGGTGTTCTTCCAGGTTTTTTTTTCTTTTTGGTACCAATGAGAGAACAAACCTGTGAGGGAGGGAAAAAAAAAAAAAAAAAGAGGATGAGAGAGAGGGAGTGGCCGGCCATCACGAGGGGGAGAGAGAAGTCTGGTGCCAAACACGAAATTCGAGGCGTTGTCATCATTCCGAGTAGAATGGACAGCGTTGGGGGGTCGATGCGTGCGTGCATCTGTGTGCGTTTGTGTGTGCAAAGGTGAGATTTGGCAACAACAAACCTAAACTGGGAAGGGGATGAGGCAACGAACGGAAATGTAGCCCTGGTCAAGTCGCATTGGGGAGGCGTGTCTATGTATCAGCGGGCCTGAAAGAGAGCAAGGGGGAGTTAGGTGATGTCACTTCCTCCTCTCACCTGTTTAAGTCTTTTCAAGGGTCCAGGGTGGCACCGGTGTAGCCGAGTTAACGGGACGGGCTGAGACCAGACGGACGGCAGAATTAAACTCTAGATTTAGACTCAAAGAGAACAATACCGTGCCACTTTTCTCTGTCGGAGGAGGGGGCGGCGGTGCTTCCAGCCACACTAGTGTCTTGACGAACCACTGCAGCCAGCGCGGCTCCGGAAGCACACGAGGGCGACCACCTTTTCTAGGATGGGGGGGGTGTTGCTAGCGGCGGTAGGGTAGACCACTGGAAACTGTGGGATGGGGGACAGCTTCAAATGACGCGAGAGCCACATGACACACAGGCCCACAATAACAGGTACACAAACACATACACAAGAGGCGCACACACCAGGTGCGTCGGCGTGGTCGCCCGCATGGCACAAAGTCGAGGACTGAAAAAGGAAATAAACGAGCGAGGTGTCTGTCTTGTACCTGGCAGTTTGGGTGGACAAATGGGAGTAAGAGAGGGACTCGAAACCTCAGTGGCTCTCTACTCGTGTTGTTACTGTTGTCTTGGTTACCGCTCTCAAGTTCTTTTTGTTGCTCTTTCCACATCTTTAGAAAAAAACCCTAATATGAAATAAAAAATTGAAGTGAAATCAACTTCTTCTCTGGAGACGAACTTTGATTTCTCTGTCTTGTGAGTTTGCAGTCTATTTTTCTAACTTGCATGGCATTTAGTTAAAGTAGTAGGTGGTGCCTGTCCTGTGCATGAGGAAAGGGTGTTATTAATCTGACTTACAAAGCCATTGTTTCATTCACTAGAATTGCTGCTAATGTACACATTGAATGTCCAACTGAAGTAGAAACTCTACCTTGAAGAGAGAAAGTTAAAAAAAAAAAGAAAAGACAAAAAAGAATCCCCCACCTGCCCCACGCTCATCTGCCCAGATCATCCTAGTTTCTATCGGTGGACACACAAGTCAGGAAGGGACCCATTCCTTTTGAATCTCATCAAGTATTAAACTAAAAAGGGCAAACATTGTGCATGACAAGCGAGCGTCCACATGACCAAAGGTTTTGAGAGACACATGAATGGGAGTGTGGCTGAATGGAGATGACCCAGATGCTGCTGTTACACATTTCTGCTCACCTGTACGTTGTGTTTTTAGAGAATGAACGAGCACTTGAGTATTTGTACCTTGGTTTCGGTCGCATGGGTACGCGTGGAGAAAAAACCCTTACTTGTATGTTTGCGTTTGCCTTTATACCTCATTGTGTGAGTACTGTATTCCCTTATGTATCTGTATCCCTCACGTCCCGTTGAAAGGCTGCTGTGCGTGCGTGTGTGTGCGTGTTTTGTGTGCGTCTGTGGATGCTGGTTGTACAGTCGACTCCTCACTCTGTCAGATTTTGTCTCTGGTTTTCTCACTCATGTTCTGATGGCAATAAAGGACTTTTCATTGTTTGGTATACACTTTTTCTAAACGGTTGATTCTTTTCTTCAAAGATTCGCCCAGATTCTGGTCAGCAGCATCAATTTCAATTTCAGCACTGAATATACGAATACTCATCATTTCACTGCAGCAGTTTAATATCCAAAATTACTTCTTGCAGTCACTGCAGTGATAAATTTGTGTCAAGCTATTTTAAGCCATCCTAATATAGTCCGCTAGCATCAGTGAAGACCAGCTATTGTAATTTTTAGCATTTAGCAGAGCTTTGTCTTGACCACACAACCTTTGTGTAATGTCACATGTGGTAGGCTGTCGCGAAGTGATGCTTCTTTATGCCGTGTTTTGTTGAACACACACACACACACACACACACACACACACACACACACACACACACA